TGGGTCGACTGGCTAAACGATGTATTTTGAGACCAAATGTTAAAGTGATGTACCAAGTAAAGGAAATCCGAGCACCGTCTTACGCAGTACTAAAGACAGATTTGAAAATTCCGGCAGAGCTCGATGTCTTGATGTCAGTCGTTAGTGTAAAGAAGCAAAATACAGGCACTGTGGTTAAACCCGCGAACACTGTCAACCCTAAGCGCCGCTCATGTGTCATGGGTTCTTCCATTTCACTAAACGAAACGGATTTGAAGGAGGCCTCGATATGTGTAAGAAATAACAGTGTGGGTCGTCTGACGGAACGCTATAAGTCCATGCCAAATATCAAGGTGACAACCCCTAAAACCAATGTTCAAGTACTGTCTGGCACAATACCACAAACAGTTTCGAAAATTCCGGCAGAGGCCGATGTCTTGATGCTAGTCGTTAGTGCAAAGAAGCAAAATACAGGCACGGCGGTTAAACCAGCAAACACGGTCAACCCTAGTCGCCGTTCACTTTGGTTCCGTGTTAAAAAAAATGTTCGCCGTGTGTTCTGCTGTGGATGCGCGTAGTGCCGACAAATTAGCCGCTGCTTTATACAGTTTATGTACCGTATAAAATGTTTGAACTTTAAAACTATTGTTGTACATAGTTTGACTGTGATATAAAAATAAGTCTAATAATTACTTGCAATTAGGTGCTGTAAATAAAATTGTATTGATTAACAAAAATAAATGTTTGTGCTGAGTAATTACATTTGTTTCTATTTTATGTTATGTTAATAAATGCCAAAACGCCATTGTAAAATTGAATAAATTCATTATGAAATGACACATGAGGTGAGAATTGCCTTCGCCTAATCACCCCTGTATGTGTATGAAATATTTTTTCATATATAACCTATAGGACATAGGTATGTTATTTCCAATACCTATATTGGAACGCTTTTATTTTTATTTTTAAATTTTAGATTTAAAGTGTATTAAGTTCATAAAGATGTAGTTTTTTAGATGTCATTTTTTTATCGATTTTTTTTATATTCGTCATATTATTTAGGTTGGTGTTTGTACATAAATAATTTTAAAGCAACATAACATACGCAAGACATTATAAATTATAGTTGTTTAGTATAGTCATTATAGAAGACTAGAGGCGTATTACGAATGTATTTCAAATCCAATTTAGCTCCGAGTGACGAGTGAGACACTCGAAATTGGTGTTAACAATTAATGATCAAATAATCACCGTTCTGGAATACGATACATAATTAACTGATATTTGATGCTGCACACAATGCAATTGTTTCCTGCACGTCACACGGAGGTGTCAATTATCCATCACAATGAACAGAAAATTGGTTCAAAACTGTGGAAACGTGCTGTACGTAGATAATACTTCATTGGTAATTTTAAAGGATGTATCGATGATTATTGATCTAAATTATATATTTTAAAGAAGGGAAATGTCTTAAGATAGTAAGAAAAATGAGGTTACAACACGTTTTACGCGTAGTGAACAACCGTAATTGCCTCAACGGTCTATTTCCGTAAGATAAGACGTTGAATTTATTATTTAATGATTTTAATACGCGTAAAATCGTTAAATAAACCAATTTCGATGGTTGTATCATAAAATGGCTACGGGTTTGTTTCAGTTTAGAATAAAGTTCACAAAATGGTATAAACAAGTAATATTATAAAATTTATTCAAAAAGTCTAAAAAAATGTAAAATAATAAATAATATGTACAATATGTCTAAATTTGATCATTGTGACACCAATTTTTTTTAAAGAAAAATTGATTGAATAAATAATCAACTATTACACAAATCAGTTTTAATTGACTAATACAAATATATACAAATGTAATGAAATAGGCAGGTATGGACCTAAGTGGAAACATAAACCTGTGAAATTGGATTCTTTTTATAAATTCCTAATAAACGTTTACATTTTGAATATGCTACAACATCGCTGATCAATATGACTAAATAGACCAACATTTAAGGTATACAATGGTCAATGACGATTATCAGAATATTTTGAGAGTATTTTGTGTTGTAAGAAATTTAAAGCTGATCTTGATACTTTAAGAATTAAAATCGAACTAGTTAAAGGACTTCTTTGTACTCGCCAGTCCAAATAATAAATGTTTATCAATAACCATTTTGACGGAATGTTCTTAACAATTAGTACTACCGATTAAATATATTTAGTAGTTTGTTCGATGTCTTAAAAAATACATTGAGAGATTTCAGTCACTAGTTATTTTTGTTCTCACTCATAACTTGTGCTAGAAACAGAATTGTGCAATATAAGAACTATGAAACAGGATAGACCCGATTCTTTATTATTATGATTAATGGCTTAATAAGACTTACTTATCAAGTTTACTTCAATGGGGTAGTCCAATTGTTTGAAGAATTAGTTACCGAGGATGATTAAATATTATTTATGTAGCGATGTATTGTCGATATAATTAAGTAATTTAACAAAACATTGCTATTTAGAATTTTAATTGTTTTTAAGTATTAATTATAATTGAATGTAAATTATAGTACTGAAAAAAAATGTATTCCATAACAATACAATATGTCAAATCATTCTTGCGTAATGAATTACTATTACCAACAACATAAGAACTTACCTAATTTAAATTAAATCCTGCACATACTTATGGTTTTAATTAATTAAAAAATATTGAAAAGTTAATTAAGCTTTATTATCAAAGCTTGTTGTCAAGTTTTCTAGCTATCGAGGATCAATGTATTGCAACTCGGCTGTATTATGATACCAACGGAAATTACATTCAGAAGCGACAGCAGCAGATATACTAATAAATTGCTTTACATGAATTATTGTGTACCTATTTAGTATATTTTCAATTTTGTGTGGATTTATACGTAGGTATAAGAATAAAGCTATAAAGCTTATAATAATATGTCAGAATGGCTTCAAAATTAATGTTTCAGTCATCAAGTTAAAAATGATATACCTATAAAGTTTAAGTATGTCGCCGTATAGAAAAAAACATTTGTTCTTTTTATACAAGTGCTCTTGTCAAGAACATTTCTTACTATAATACTTTGTCTGCATTATGCCTAACCTTCATTGGTATCTTTAATGACTAGAGAAATCATACTTGACAGTTGACACCCCTATTTAATATGGGTAGACACTTAAGCTTTAATTTTAAGACAAGCTAAGATTCTACATACATTAAAACCACTGCTAAAGCAAAAAAAAAAAATAATAAATAAGTAAGTATTTATAATATTATGTCCTGCGGTGATAGGCTAGATTACTTACTTTTTTTCTATAAATTGTTAATATATAATATTTTTGTACATAATTATAATTATCCTTAGTGCACAAAATTAAAGAATTCTAAAACTACTCGTTTGAATTTCAATTCAAATACGAATATGCATAAAAGTATTCAAAAGTGTAATTTAATTAAAAATTAACAGTAATTCTTATTTGAAAAAATATGTAAATATTGCCAGGGTCCACAGTGCACTCCTTATAAAATCTAAGTATTTGAAAATATGGTCCTTCAATATATTATTTAAAAATCCTAAAATTCAGAATTTGAATGAATTCCTTATAATATATTATACAAATACGAAGGTGAGCATGCTCGGTGAGTTGGAAATGCAATGAAACAGCAATATTCCAAAAAACCAATTGAGGTTCAGATTATTTGTAGAGAAACTGGCAGGTTTAGACAGTAATCGTGGAGGTCAAACATGAGTTGAATGTGGAGATTACGGTCATCAAAGTTTATGCATAATTCTCCAAGTAGTTTGATGCGATAGAAACTTAAATGAGGATCTTAAAGAACATAGGAGATGCTATTTATATTTCTAGTGAGTATCTTCATTAGACCAAAAGTCGTATGTAGCGCATAAAATGTTAGCAAAATTCAGTCATTACACACTTAAAAGTTAGAAGTGTTTATCATAAAATCAAAAATGGCCAAAATCACACTATATTACCTATTGATTTATTATTTTAACAGTTATTATAGTTATTTTTTCATATCCTTATGGCCACTTTACAATATATTTATGGTATGAAAAAATTTTAAGCAATAAAAATAATTATTTTTAAATTATGTAAAATGGTAAATCACAAATATCTAATACATCAAGAACCGTGCTTATGAGTTGTTTTTTTCGATAAGGTATTTGGAAAGCATACAATATATGACATTAAACTAAAGCTAATACATAACGATAAAGAAAACTATGTGAAGCACAAGCACTGAAATATATTGAATAAATGCTGGACAAACTGGCAATACGGAATCACAAAAAGCTTTTGGAATTTATAAAATAAGAAATTGTACAAGCATTTTCGATAGCACTTTATAGATAGTATATTGTAGTATCGTATATTTGTACCCTCTATTATAATATTATTGTTATACAATACCGTTCGACTAATTTCCACGCAGCGATCTAATTCACAGGCAGTCGTTGTCAGTATTCAGTGATAATTAAAAAAAAACAAACCCAAAAAAGACGTTTAAAGGTCTGTCGTACATTTCACACACGGCCGTCGCTCATGCAAACAAGTGCATCTGGGCTCGTCGTTTCCCACGAATTCGTTTTTTTTTTTTATTCTGTTATTTTCGTCTATTCCTACTTACTATGTAATGTTGTTACTTATTTACCTACCGTTGAAACGATGTTAAACGTTATTCGTATTGAAATCGTTTACGCCAGAACATTTCACATAATATTCTCTGGTGTCTTTCTAGAATAATACGAAAAAAAATGAAACGAATAAAAAAAAAAATACGAACGCAGAACGCACACGCCACCGGTTCGGGGTCACCGCCGCCGCCGTCGGAGGGATAACGGAATCTTCGGTCGGGGGGAAGGCGACCTGCAGCAGCACCAGCCGGCTGGTCGCGGTGGTTTCCGCGGTACGTCCGGTTTCTGGTGGTAGCGCAGCAGCCGCCGCCGCCGTCGCCGACGTCGAGTAGCTCCTCTTCCTAGCCGCCGACACAACCGCAGTCGCAGCCGACGACGAAGACCACCTCCGCAGACCGCCTCAGTGTCGTACAAGACGTCGGTGCCGCACAACGTTCGTAGCGCCATAATTTATTGAATATATTCCAAACGCGAACCCCCCCAGACGTGCGCGTGTAAGCATTACCATTCGTGCATATTATTGCGATTTCGTTCAACTTCCGATAACGACAGTAATATCGACGAGTACGGTTGCTCTACCGCGTGACCATCGCTGCCGCCAGAGTCGTTTACCTGTAACCGCTGTAACCGCACCCCATAAAGCGAAATCAACCACTTCCGACGTTTAGGGGATTACCGGGAGCAGGTACTACAGTTGTCACTGGGGAATAGTTTATTTTTTTCATCAGAATAGTCCATCCCGTTCCGGACTCAAGTGACAAAGCTGACACATTTCCACACCGAGGTAAGAACCGGCGACTGTCCGTAATTATATTATTATCATCATGATACCACTGTCAATACGCAACTGTATTATTTATATTTACATGATATTATATTTTATATGGTTTGTGTGAACACGGGGGAGACGGCCAACAGGACTTGTTAAGTTATAATATACATTATTTATCGATAGGCTCAGTTACTGTGTGCGGGTTATAAATAAATTGTAATACGTGTACTAATCGAATTTAGAGGCTAACTCGAGTTTGCCGACGTACCTTAGTTAGAAAACTGATTATTGTTACGATAAATGCGTCACGAGAGATCTACTACTGAACCTACCTATAATTTTTGTGATCTACAATTTGTTGATATGGGTCTCCCACATGACTCTCACACTGGTACAACAATTATGCACATGATTGTCAGGTTTATAACATAGGTATGTTTGAGGTACAATTCGATTTTTGAAAGAAAATTTTCGATTGCTAAAGCACACTACTACTTGAAATTCAAAACCCCCTTTGCCCGTGACTATGAAAAAGGTGGAACCTGCCTAACCTAACATTTTATCCTTAAATGACTGAAATTATCATAGATTTTAAAAATCAGATTTAAGAATAGGGAATATCAAAAAATATCATTTTTTTTAAACTTAAATTGTTTTTTAAATACATATTTTTTGTGATGTTTTATTTTTTTCTTAAGAATTGTTATGTTGTTTTCAATCTTTTGATTGAACTACATAATAAGAAGCCTGTAAAGTAACTTGAATTAATATATAATTTATACTTCAAATTATTATTATTATTTTCATTTGTAAATGGTAATAGTTTTGTAATTTGCATGAATCATTTTTAGGAAACTTTTATATTTTCCAGTCACATAATTTGTCCTAATATTATGCATTGAGTAAAAGTATGAGATGTATTGTAATATGTTTAACCTCGCTAGTAATTTACCACATTATTGGTATGACTCAAAACTAATTCAGATCATCAATACATACGAAATATATACATAATGTTTTGTAAGGTGCAATAAATAATATGTTTTTAGCTATTTTTATTCATTATTCAATTTCTTTTTTTTTGGATTTGGGAATAGGTACCTAGCTATTCCAATTACATATCAAATTATCGCACATAATTAAAACTAATTTGAGTCTTAACTACGTATTTTTGTATTCATTTCTTGTGTTTCGGAAATCAGTATAAGCCTACAACCGCTGCAGTCTGCAAGGTAACAATTATAGTAATGTCACTATCACGACGCATGGTTATGGTTTAACCATAAAGTCACAGTCACTGAAGGTGACATAGTTTTAGCTTATTAATAATTCAAGAGGCATGCAGCTTGCACTGAGTCGCAAGACAGTAAGTCAAAGTAGAATTTCTCTCGATTTACACCATTAATGTTGGAATATTGATATGTAATAGGTATTACGATATCTAGGTTAGATCTTTCCAAAATGTGTATATGAATAATACCATTGGGCCTTGATAAGGTTTTCCCAATATTTAATATATTTTACCTACTCTATTAGATTTCATATTATATCTATTTAGTGTCATTTTACAGCGATATATATTACGAGGAAAATAATTATCACTTGTATTTTTAAGACTATCGAAATAGTTTCGATAATAAATTGGATAGTAATATTAAAAATATAACATATCAATACATTATTGTTGTAAGTAGGTACAATAGTATACAAGAAAGTATTTATAAATTATTTTCATGTGATAATTAAATGTAATTAATTATTTTTTTCTGGTGTAGCTCGGTAGTTGGCCTCAGTCACTAACGTGTTCTGAGGTCAATCGTCGGCTGGCGTTGATAGTTCTTGGATGGGTGACCAGCCATAATTTATATCTATTTTTCCATATTCTAAACTGATATAAAACATGAATATTGTCATTCAATAGTATTGAGTGTTGATTTCAAATAATATAGATATTATAATATAACTATGGTCATATCTACTCACTATATTATACAGATGCTTTTTTTTATATTGATATAGACATATAGTACGTTGAAGTTACACGTTTATTTAACAAGATAATCATACCTATATTGTAGTATCACTGTATCAGTATCATTTAAAAAAAACAGTTTCTCGTCCGTAGTTTTTAATCACATCTGGTTCAAAAGACAACAACATGGCAACATGTTCATACTTACAATTAATATGATATAACGATGTAATGGAGATGTTCTTATGGCGAATAATTATGCGCACTTTGCGGCCGTGTTACACGTTCCTTAGCACAGTAATAAACGGCCGTCGACCCGTAAGCCATAATATCCGAGCAAACCACTATAATACTTCTACTTATAGCTATAATTATTTAATACTAACGCTGTAATACTGTAACAGCACCGGTTAACTGATTCAGCGTAGTTTTGAGGCTGCAGTCGGGCCGGCAGACAAGGGGCAAATGATTCAAATTTTACATTATTTTCGTCTCTTCATCCGCGTTTCGATTCATCGAACATCGAATGCCAGATTTGTTCGAGCTCGTTTTGTGCGAGTTTCACATATGTATAAGTAATAGGTACTACACGTGTATAATATTATTATAGACGTGCCGAAATCATAATTTCGTGAGCACTGAACACTGTACCTATTTTGCATTAGATAGGTAGGTACGTCCCGTATTTTTAGGTACTTCTATACTTACCTATATGTATATTAACGCATGAATTACTAATAAGACACGAAGCTCGAATCCACATGAAATCATAATATGGGTTTGTGTCGATTTATACGACACATATTGTATAAACGGAACAACAAACAGTTATAGTATACAACTATGTACCTATTATTCACTATCGTAATTTCCAAGATATCTGTAACGAACATATAACTCCAGACTACATTGGTCAATAATATTCAATGTTTTGGGTCAGAGAACACCGGATCGATAAATTTCCGTTGGATTTAATTAGCCGTTGTTGTCGTCAGATGTTTCCGACTATAAACTGCTGTAGAGTACCTAACTGTACAATTATTCGCGTTTACCCGTTTATCATGCATTCGTCAAAGTTAACATCACGTTGTTAAAGAAATTATACGGTTTAAAAAAATAAATAAAAATAGTAATGATAAAAAATATAAAACAATGAAAAACTAAAATCTGTGTCAAATTCACAAATTATATAATATGAACGTAGTTACCTACATTATTCTGATGAATTGCTGCAGATGAAAATTATAACATACCGATCGAACTGTAGATTGATGGACGCATTTTAACATATAATTATATACGGCTCGAAGCTTGTTGGTCTAAACTCTAAATGGTGACGATTATATTATTTTTTCTAATGCTACTAAAAATATATATATTATATACCTAACTATATAATTACGCAATCGTCGTTCATGACAGTTATTTTAAGTTAAAAAAATGTGGTTATGAATAAATTTAAATCCTTTGCATTATATTTGTTCATTTCTTACCAGTGGTATACATGTGACACAATTACAATAATACATTGATGACTGATCATACCTACTATTAATAATAATAATAATAATAATAGCGCGAATATACCGTTAAAGTGCCGATTTGATTTAATACATTTCACCGCGGTTTTTCATTCATTTTAATATATTAATTCTCGAGCGCTTTTTCGTCTTATTAAAGTGTATATTTTATACACGTGTAAATCATACAGTGTATTATGCAGATTAATAGATTATGCATATTATTAAAATTATGATATTGAATTTTCTCGTTTGTAACGACGTTGTCATTCTTCGTTTCACGTCCATGCGTAAATTGTAATCAACTTTTTATTCACGTCTTGACAATGCATAAGAGACACGTCGAATTCGTTATTAGTTTATTACCTCTACTCTTCTGTGTATCAAAAATAATAATAATAGGTATGTAGGTATATTATTACGACGTATATTATTATATTATACGAATCGGCGTCGTTGAAGTTTTTGTGTAATTTTATGGTATAGTAACTGCTTTATATATTATTTCCGTTTCATAACATAATTGTCCCACGACGGAGGCAAATTCCAATCGTTGCTGCAGTATAATGACTACAACAGTAAATTGTAATATATTTTTGTTAATTAAATCACACCGGCGGTACAGATATCATGCTGACATGCTGTGGACCGACGGACTACACCGTTTCGTTAATTTGTTATTTTTCCATTTAATTGTTATTATTATTCTGTCCAAACTGTCATTTATACGTAATAATGTATCAACAAAGATGAGATGGATGTACCTATATTTTTAATAGAAAAAAATCCAGTCACAGTCACTCTCTGAGATACCCTAACAACGAGGTTAGTTAATTATTGAATTATATCATTAAGAATTGAGTGGTAACAACATTGTATGTTCATGTTTAACAATGAAAAAAAAATGTATTTTAAAATATTTTATTTCCAATGAACGCCAATCGATCTGGTAATGCAGTAAGAATTTTTTGAATAGCTTTAATATCTTATTTTTTATGCCAAGTCTTTTTCCCATGACGACTTTGTCATACTGTACATTTTTGCTCCAAAGATCTGTCGTACGAAACTTTAACATTTATTTAAATCGTTGGATTCGAATGAGTTGAAAAATTCGAACACAGGCAAACCGATTGAAATCTGCTCAAAGAAAACGGTACTGTGCCGCTGGGGTCCTTTACGGTGGAAGGTCTGTCTCTGTCTATATACGGTGCTTATATTTTTATATTAATTTATACCTGCAGCTATATTATAGTAGCATGGATAACATTATACGGTGTGTACAGCTATGCACGTCAACACAACACGTTCTGTAGTTGCATTATTATTTATAATAATATACAGTTCCTATTCGAGCGCATAACACATAGATAATAATGTTGTCCCACTGCGAACTCGGCGAGTAATAGTCAATAGATGCAGACTGCAGAGCATCTATGTCGTTCGCCCAGAGGAACTCGACGTCACATTATTAAATCTTAGCCGTCGGCCGGACCGGTGACCGATCCGCACGCCGGTGTATC